TGTGTCCCTCCAGTCTTGCGACCCCTCGTAGGTCGCTGGCTAGCTATCCTCTCTAGAGCACTAACCAGCCCCATTGTAGTGTCTGTGCACTACACTAATTATGGGGATCTGGAGGAAATTTCTGGGCTGCACTGCAACGCTGCACTCTATGGCTGCACCTTGAAATGAGGCGAGTCTTTATGGAGTGTTCGTTCGTTTGACTGGGTAGTCAGGGCGTAGTGACAGGGCTAAAGATGCACTTTGGTCATGATTGTTTCCTAGATGACCTAATGTATTTCCTGTGAACTAGTGCCAGGACACGGCAGGTTTACACAAGGTGCAGCCTGATATTATCAGTCTGACAAGCTGAAAAGTGATACGAATGGCCTTTGAATAAGCTACCTGTAGCATGCTAGAAGAAAAGCAAAAGAAAGCAAAAGCCCAAATGTCCTGTAGAACGGCTATGGGACATGCAGGTGCTACACAGCGGTACTTTGTAGTTAAGACTGGGCTTTGTTACCGACAAGAACCACCGGAGCTGCAGTAAGCAGCGTGGGCACGCAGGGAGGAAAAAGGATTGGGGGAGAGACAGTTGTATCGCTTTGGCGAATGGAGCTAGAACGATGATGTTGTGATCCTTCTAACATTTAAATAGTTTCTTCAGTAATGTTTGATAGCCAGTCAAAACAGGAGGGACGCGTGGGAGCAAAGCTTGGCTTATCACACTACAGAGCCCTTGTTAGCGAGCACTTCGCTGGCAGTGCCAAAACGTCGCCATGGCTGCAAAGCATTATAGGCCCAACCGCAGTGGGAGCTGCGTCTTTTGACAAGTTTATTACGTGGTTCGTGGTTCGTGTGTACACTTCGCTAAGTATGGACTTTCGTTGTTGTCGTCTGGCTCAGATGCAGTAAAAGTCATTATGGGCTTGGTTTTTAATATACTTTTCCTGCAATTCATTCCTTTCGGTATATGTGCTATTTGTGGGTCTATCTTACCACGTACAAATTAGCAGGATTGGTTCCTTTAGAATCATTGTTCATCTACTAGATTCACAGCAGAGTTGCTCTTGTTTCAGTTATTGTGAAACTAGACGACCCCATAATTTGACCAGTGGTTCCTTCAAGTATTGCAGGACTTCTATTCAGTTGCAGTCGTTCTGCTTTTCTTAGCATTATTTAAATCATTAGTACTTGAGAACATTTGGCCTTCTTGCAAAGTTATCGCACTACTTTGTCATAGCACCTTGTATACATCACGCCACTTACAACCTGTGCGCCCAAATGTTTCACTTTGTATGGAGCTACTAGACAATTCGTTAATTGAATAAGTGCCCAAAGGCTTTTAAATCCAAGTAACGGCTTCCTTTTGGGGCCGTCATTTCAACATTAACTTAACTCAATATTTTGGAAGGCCAACGAAACGCCACAGAAACATATAATTACAGAATCAATTAAAGATAAATTCTTGCAGGGCTTGACTTCTCTTGAGTAATGGGGGGCGGGGTAGATTTGTTTATACTGCTAACTCTCAGTGATTCACGGAAAACCCATTTTACGCTTTCCGTTCTCCACCTAAAACCTATTGGGTATTCCAAAACTCTACGGTATGCGAACAACAGCCGTTAGTGTGTCAGCTAGGATAAAAAGCAACAAATATTTTGTTTCAGTGTAATTAGAAGGTGCATTTGCACATAATAGTCTCATCTTAAAATACTTTTTACTACATGCAGCCTAGTTTGGTCCTTTTGCTTTCTCAATTGAAAGCATAATATCATTAATACTCAATTCAAAGTTCTAGGAGTTATTGTTCACTTTCGGCGCCAACTAGAACTTGTGTCTTAGAGCACTGCACATCTCCACCCGTCTATGGCTCTTATTATTGGTGAACGAAAGACACGTCTCTGTTGATATATTTTACACTAACATCTGGTTGTATATTCATTATTCGCTGCATACTACTTGTAAATCATTGTTCAGCCATGGATATTTGTCCCTGAACTGCGCAAGGGCTTCATGCTGATTAGAGATGAATGTGGCGACCCGCGACAACTGAGACGATGCTTGTAATATCACTTTGGCAGAGAATTCCATTACGTACAAGGCTATCAACTTCTCTTTGGAGGAGACCGCTCCAAGCGTCCAACTGGCCAGTGTCTACTCGGTTAAGCAGTGTTGGTCGTCCGCTTGTCTGGGGCGTATTTCTCCCTACTTTTCTTCTTCTAGGATAAGACTGAAAGAGATATAGGAAGTCTTTTGAAATATCAATACGTATGTGGCATAGAGCATTGTTCTTGACTCATCTCGGTGGTTACCCCTCGAGAGTAGCTGGAGAGAGCGCTGAGAGTTTTCTGATATGCTTCACTAGCTTGTTCAGTGACAAGGTAATCCATGACTACAACATAAAATAAAAATTTCATCCTCAGTCGCTCATTCTTCATTCATTAGGGTTAACCTACCACGGTTATGCTGGGCGCAAGCGGTTTCGTTCAGGCAGGGATGCGCCTCCAGCTGCACGCCTGCTGTCACCCCTCCTCCACCCCACGTACGTACTCATTGAGGTTTCAGAGAAACATGCATTGTCAGGATAGTTTCTTTGTGTCTTGAATCTGGTTAAGGTAAGCTTGGGGGATGCCCTTTCAAATATACTGCGATGGTGATTTCTGCCAATGTCCCTCAAGGCGCTTTTTCGCGATCGCCAACCATCCGCCAGAGCACGCTGCCTCATTGTGGCTAACAGCAATTTTGACGTTTTGAATTCATTGCGTGTGAAGTGACATATTGCGTCAATAAATAAATGCGTGGGATGCGATTCCTAGACCCCCGTGCTATTTTGGAGGACCCTCTATTTCAGTCCGTCCGTCGTCCAACTGTCACTCTTTTGCCCATGGCGATTTTCTACTCAGGAATAGGGAACTCTGGTGAAGGCTGCATCGAGAAAATGAGCGATATTCAAAGGGGCACTTGCAAGTGGTTTGATTCAAAGAAGGTCCGCCGGTAGTTCTGCTCCCACCCTGCAACGCGAGCCACATTGCCTGTAGGTTGGTGGCGACGACTGTAGCTTCCTAAAAAATGTTCTTATTTGAATTTAGGGCTTTGGATTTATTACATCTGATGATGGAACGGACCTCTTCGTGCACCAAACGGAGATAAAGGCTGACGGGTTCAGAAACCTCTGTGAGGGAGAAGAGGTTGAGTTCCAAGTTCAGTCAGGAGATGACGGTCGGAAAAAGGCCGTACGTGTAACTGGCCCTGGAGGCGCTCCTGTTAAAGTAGGTCTTTTTCATTCCCCAAGCCTTGGGTGTAGCTAACTACTGTTTCTCGACTGGAAAACTTTCGCTGCTGCTGCTATTTCTATTCAGGGTGATAATCGCAGGATGTCGCCTTCCTACAACGGAAGCAGCCGCGGGGGACGCGGCTACAGTGGGGGTGGATATGGAGGTGGCGGCTTTGGAGGCGGCGGGGGTGGTGGCTACGGTGGTGGCTATGGCACTGGTGGCGGCTATGGCGGTGGAAACGGCGGCAATTATGGAGGTGGCTCGAGTTATGGAGGGAGCAGCGGCGGTGGGAGGGGAGGTTATGATAGTGGGAGCAGGGGAGGTGGGTATGGAGGCGGCGGGTATGGCGGCAATGGCTACAACAACTACGCTTGATTGCCTCACCAGGCCAGTACCGCCATCCTGACACCCGAATACTATTTGTGTAGTGTCTCGTTATTGAATTTGTGCAGTCCAGCATGCCTACAGTTTCTGGACAGTGCGCCACCCTCAGCATGGTTTGTCTAATGAAGCGGCTTTAGGTGTATTCATAGAAAAAGCCTTGCTGTGAATGGGTGTTCTGCCGTTCCTTTGTTCTCTTAAACGCATCGCATATACGCCACTTGAAGAGTTCTGTCAGGTGCCGGGTGATCCCATTTGAATTTGTAAAAGAAAATGCATCATTGGACATCATGGAGGATTGACATCAGAGGTATAATTGTTGCCACACGAAAGGTCTCGCATCGCAACGGGATAGCTGCGTTGACAGTCTCATCGGCTCGTGGTATCTCCGACTTAGCAGCTTTTTTTCGTCGTCCCAATGTTTCCTTGATCCATATTTATGCAGTTATCTCCGGTGGGTCTCTGCCGAGGATACGTGTAGGGAAAGCCTAGCCTCGCGGCCACTTGTGAGCGCGATGTTATAATGCGTGTTCGTTCCGGACACTTTGGATGTGCGGATAACGTTTTGCTTTCGAGACATGGGCACCATACTCGAGTGCGAGCCCATAATGTTTGGGGGTTTTCCAAGTGTGGGAGTTAAACATTCACAAGAAGTAAACATTCCCAAGAAGTACTTCAGGTAGCTGTTTAGGGGCCCATCGTCCCGCCTTGATTTGAGAGCTCTTGGACAGAATCCTGAGCGCAGAAGTGTAAGAATATGGGGTCCGTCGTGGCTCACTAGTTAATATTTAAGTACCGCAATCATTGAGTTTAGTCGCACGTCAGTTGCAGAGGGTCTGATTTGCTGGAGCTTCTTAATGTGCGCAAGTGTTGCGGCAGCACGAGATGCTCCTGAATCTGGGGCTTTCGGGGGCGCTAACGGCGTGGTGGGATAGCTTCTGTTGCTGGACGGTAAGTATATTGTGCCATTGGGCGGGACAACCACGCCATGGAACTTAGTCGGTGGGGACCCGATTGGGCCCGTAGCTTTGTTGCGGAAGGGCGCGGATACCATAGGCTGGAGCTTGGGCAGGACTGAGAAAATCGAGGCCGGGAAGTGTGCCTTCGAGCAGATCATCAGGACATGTTAATGTTTTTATTGTAACGGCACGTACCCTGCAGCGTCCCTCGAAAGCCTTTTTGACCTCTGCGTCATAACGCAAAAAGCTCAGTCGGAGCTGGCAAGGCCCTCGGTACGTAGGCGGGGCGACGCATATCCCTGACTCCTTTGAATCCAAGCGCCACAGAGAAGGGCACGGGGCAGCGTAATTCCGTTCAGCAGCGTCTTTGATTGGCCACGTCGCCGAACACTTCATCATCTATTTTGGGAAGTGTGGCGAAATGCACGTGACTGCACTGCCGCACTCTGCACCTACGAAGTCGTTCTTCTCTTCGTCAGTTGTGCCGGCGAGCCGCTGCACTTTGGCGCAGCTCCCTCTGTACTCTCCTGACGCTACGCATTCCGGCAGCTGCCAGAGGCGGTTTGTTGGAGTTGCTTGCACCAGCTGACTGAACTACGTACTGCTTCAGGAAGCTCCGAGACATTCCACCCCAGCGGGCACGGTTCACTGAAGTCGTACTGGGCCAGGAAATTGGGTGGCCACTCCAACTGGCACTTCGCTGCAATGCGCGCCTTTTCTGCACCCGAGGCTCCACCTGGCACTCCAGCTGCGGGCTGGCCGTTCAGTGGTGAAGTTGTTTGGCCCTACTGAAGTCTTGAACGCTGGCGCATGGCCCCACGTAAGAAGGCGGAGCTTCGCATGCCTTGCCGTCAACTGCAGTAGGCAGTTGAGCTTCACCTCGAGGTAAATATTGTCATTGCTCTTTCTAACCGCTTAGGCTCCACATGACGGGGCAGGGGCTCGTCGTGAAGTCCGCGTCGTACTCTTTGCACGGCCAGCTGACACCGCATGCCTTTTCGTTGAACATTAGGGCTTGCGACAGCAAAGAGCCTCAGTTTTGAATCCACCTGTGCCCTGGAGGCGGCAAGGGGATAGTTCTGCAGTAACTTCGTTTCGCGCGACGCGTAAGAGCCACTTACCAACGAGCCTTCGATGGCTCGTCAAATTCTGCAAATTGCTTCTGAAGTACACAGCTGTTCCGGAGACCGTCAATTAGTACAATTCACATCTCTTTGAAGCAAACATTGAAGCAAACTCACTTCCCGCTGTAGTTGGGAGGCGCCTTGCAAAGCGTTCCCTCATCTGACCAGCCTTCTGGACACGGGACGCTGATGCAACGACATATCTACTTGATTTCGCGCATGAAAGAAGTAGCTCTGCCACCTAAAGTCTTCCTTGCAGGTGCTGTTACATGGCCCTGTTGTGTCTGATTAGCTGGCTAAAGCCCTATCGAACTGCGTTGGTTCAACCCCTACATGAAACATTGCAGCGCTGAGAAAAGTCCTGTTTCGACAGCGGTGTGGAACCTGGAAGATCATTGACCTGTCCGACACAATTTGTTTTAGGGTATCCCTGCATACTTGAGAAGTCTGCCGTGCGTTCACAATCCCCTGACAATCGATATAGAGAGAGCCTTTGCTCCAAGACAAAGTGCCGCCACACCTCTATACTCGCTGGAGGCCTGAAGAGATGTGGGTATTACTCGCATGAATCAATCCAGTCCGAAAGAACTAATGAGACTTGCCTTGCAAGTTTTCCCGTCCCCTAACTCGTACCAACCAACAGGGCCTGCGGAAGAGTAGTGACGGAAAACAGTCGATATTTTCAAGCTAGCGAAGAACGGAATTCCTCACACAGCCTCGTGTAGTTCCTGGACGAGCAGCTGTCTGAGTCTGGGTTGGAAAGCATCTCATTGTGGGATGCAGCATCAACTTCAGCTGCGACCTTCTGTCGCACAACTGCACAAAAGATATAGCAAGAGTTGTTGCAGGCTTCGTGAAGGTTCCGCAACGTACATGAGGAAGAAAGGTTGTGCAGTGCAGTGAGCACAGCCGAAGCAAGCTCGTCAGAGAAGCTTGACAAGTTTCTACTGTCTTCTGCACTGTTAATCAGTTTATAAAAGGAATTAACCAGACTGTGCCCTGCTTCCTCCGTGGGCAGGCTTCCTGAGGGGGAAGGAGCTGCTCCTGTGAAATCCCCCACTGTCTGCTCTGATATGAGTGAGCCTAGCCACAGAAAGCAGAGACATAATGTGAAACAAGAAAAGTCCATCGCCTTTTCACAACTTGGGAATCCACGTGGAAATCGGCCGTGCAGATGGCTTTCCTGAACCGTAACGAATGCATGCTGGACCCTACAAGTGTCCATACACTAGAATATCAACGCAAACTCAAATGGAAAAAAATCAGACAAGAAACAACGTTATTTCGTGTCAAGAAAACACTACTTGTAACAATGATGAAAAAACCTAAAAGAGTAGGTCGTCACAACGTGACAGCAAGCGAAGCTGTGCAAGTAGCCCACACAGTGAGGCAAATGGCAGTGAAATGGAGAATCTCAGATGCTAGAGATACTCAATTTCCTTTCTGGTGAAAAAGTACTTGATAGTCTAAGCAGCCACACGCGAATGGCAGCCACATGCAGTGATGAGCCGTTGTGTACAGTAGCCTGACCCAAATACGGGGAAGGCGGCAATACACAATATACTATGGTGATGTTAATGATTAATTTTGGACCTGCAGATGCGTTGGCCACGGGAATTGAACAGAACTACACGGCATACAACGGGGAACGGGGTTCGGGGCAAGGGATTATCAGCGCCTAGAAGTGCTGCAGCTGTCCCAATTTTTTCCCGATAGAAGACCCCAAACATGCATGCCTTTTAGAAGGAATATAAACGGGACTTTCACGACCATGGAAGATGCCCACGATTGGCCTCTACTGCACTGCAGCCATAGGCGCCTCGCGTCTATGCAGGCTCCATGGTTCTTTCCTGCGTCAAGGGAGAGGGCTGCTGTCTGGCTGTCGCGTGACGGAGAGGAGACAGGGCCGTGCATTTAATCAGAGATGTGCAGAGGCACGCGCAGGGAGCGATGCCAGCAGCACTTGGGGCTCGGCGGGTGCTGGAGCACTTTTGCAGGGCAGACAAGTTCAGAGAGCTTTTTCTACGGCACCCAGATTGGACGATAACACTGTTAAAACCACGCGTGGTAAGATTTCAGGGAGGATCACACTGCATTGTCTGCGTGCGACGAATGAAGTGAGGTATCCTTGTGCACAGAGGTCTCCCCACAACGGCGTTTCGCTGTCTGGCTTTGACAGTTGATGAGTGCAGTCTATCGCTGAGTTAATTGACGTTCTCACCCGGTGCATGCCAGTCCGAGTGTTTGTGAAAGCATGGTAGACAACCAGTAGAAACCAACGCCTCGCCGAAGCGGAGAATTCGGCTTTATTTCAGATGACTGAGACGCAGGAGAACATTCTGCCCGATTTCATTCAGGTGAAGACTGTGAGCGCTTGCGTGTTGCTCGCCTATTGCGGCGCTACCAGATGCTTCGGCCTGAAGACCGAATGCGGCTTGAGCAGGAACATCGGAGGGAGGGCGGAAGTTTCGTAAGTGGTCGGAGTTTTTTCGCAGGCTTTCCATCCATGCATGCGCATTGCCTTCTATAGGAGCTTGAGAAGAGTATCGTGGACCAAATGTTTTTAAACGAATACACTGAAAGCCTGTATACAAAGCTTAAAAGCCCCTGTTTGCCGGTGTGCGGGTGACGATCGACAGTTGAGCCCTTGTTTGCCTGAGTTCACTCTGGTGCTCGACTTCAGATGGGAAAGTGGCAAGAACTTCGGGCTAAAGGCATAGACAATCAGCTTCAGTCTTGGGAAGCAGAAAAGCGCGAACGGGAAGAGCAGCAGGAACGGACGCTACGTCTGCGAGATATTTACAAACCTGCTCATTTGCGTCGGCGCAAGCGGAAAGTTAAACGGGTTCAGCAGTCTGAGGAGCAGGCGCCGCCAGTGGTGTACGCAAGTATAGCTCAGTCTACTAATAGTATACGCGTTCTTTTGCGTTTTCTTTGAACGATGTGTATACCTGAAAACAGGGCGTTCCATTGGTTCTGCCTAGTCTACAGATTTTCCTGTGCAGGGCTGCAAATTTTACGGAGGAAGCACAGACTCTCAGCCTGGTGGAAGATGCCCATAAAGCCGAAGTATACGAAGAGATCTGCGCCAGGCTTAGCCGAGAGTGGGAAACCCGGGTAAAAATCTCACAACATTGGAACTTTGCATGCTGGGCGTGCAAACACGTAACGGAATACGGAATTGAAATGCCAAAGTGCAGGGCTTAGGCTGTTAAGTAATTTGTTGTGCTTTTTGTTCTCCGTGCATTCATCTTCACTAGCATGCACTGGCTTCACAGAGTAAGCTTGAGCTATGTTTTTCAAGGACCATCTCAGTGACAGTTTTGTTGACATATTGGAGCAAGCCCTCCGGCATGACTTAATGGACCAAAGGCAAGACTTTGGCACTCATAGATGCAGTTGTCGCTTCTCCAGCGCACGCTGCTCAAGGTTGCGGGCTGCAGACCGTTCGAGAATAGAGTGCTGGACGGCGATGCATTCTACTATTGGGCCTTTCGATGGAGGTCACGGGTTCATTTTGTGCCGTGTGCTGCTCTGTACAGTCGCCCCACTCTTGTGAATGAGTTCACTGACTTTGACAACCCGTACATGTTAAAGCGCCAGGCTCTCAAGAGACTGCTGGAGGAGCGCGGGACACGCAACGCGCTGGACGAATCAATGGTCAGTGTTTCCCGCGTCTTCTGCGGGTTTTTTGCCTCTTAATGCGTAGGAAGACGCCGAGAACTGACGAGGAATCTGCAGAGGAGTCTATATAGTTTCTCAGTTTTTCAGTTTTCTGGCTGCTGTTCCACTTGCTCATGGAAACGACTTCGGCCTTCTTGTTGTTATGTCAGATTGATAAGTACCTGGACAAGAGGCCAGACCTCCTAAAGTTGCGGCTTGCTGTGAGTCGCCTGGTAGAAGTAACTGCATGCGAATAAACTATCAAGACGCCACTTTTCGGCAGGGAACGGCGGACACCACTTTAACTTAGACTAGTTGGGTCATCGTAGGATTACCGTAAGTGGATCAGGATAACACGCGGCGTTACGATTTAGTTTCCGCGTCATATCTTGTTACTGATCAGTGCTGCTGCGTTCTTAGGCGAAGCTACCGCCGGAAGTTGTTGAGCCTTTAGTTGCGTTCCATGGCATCACGTGCTACAACTTCGACAAGCGCACGCGTTTGGGTCAGAAGGTGAATGCAGTGCTTAAGGCTGTCAACTCTGCCGATTGCGGTACGCTCTCAGCTTTTCAGCCATCCACTCAGCACTTCAGCCATCCACTTCATTTCTGAAAAAGTTCGAGGCCAAGCCTGACGCTGCTATACCGCTTTTCTGATGTTCTCCATATACGTTGGTGTGCAGAGTTGGACCAAGTGCTACAAAATTTAGAGGAGAATAGACACTCTGACATGTAGGCATCCCGAAGTGGAGCAGTGAGGACTATAATACTAGCTGTTGCCTAAGCCCCTTTCCCCGGGAAATGCATATTACTGGGAGCAGAAAAGGTGAAGCTTGTGAGCGTGAATCGTATGCGCTGCTGCAGGATACATGAGTTCCATCCGTTTCGGAACCATTTCGGATTCGTTTCTGCCGTTCCTACTGGTACTGCTGGCTCCATTTTGATGGGGCGTGAGGAAAGTGGAACGGACAAGGAGCTTAGGATGATTCGGTGAGTTGATACGCGACTGCTGGAGCATCGAGCCTCACATTCGCACTTTCAAGAGGGATAACTTTTCGTACAAACCACAAAGTCTCGAGAAAGCAGGCTGGAATTAGTACACGTAATGAGTTCCGCGACCAACATCACATACACTGCAAGGATGAATCTGAATTATGTGCTGGTTGTGTTCAGATATCCAACGTTGCAGCGCGTGGCCCATACTTTGCCGAAGGATGCAAAGTGTGAGCCATCTTTTGCAAACGTGCCTAAACTGTTGTGGCCGTTTCGCCAACGGGCCGGCCCAAATGGTTCACTATGGCCTAGGCCTGTGGTGATGTGCTTCTGCAGCTCTGCAAGTGGATGTTTCGTCGCCTTTTGTTTGTGTGTGCTGTGTAGATCGTGCCATCGTTGCCCATGCAATTCGAGTTCTTGAGCGATCTCGGGGTTGGGACTTCAAAGACAAGCTCAAGGTAGGTGCAGGTGAAGCAGCTTTGGTGGAAAAACAGCCTGAACTGTCACGATCTCTTTGCATATTTTATCTGTCCTGACATGGGTTACCCTAGGCAGTGAGCACGTTGATTGAAGTCTACAACCACCTTCCACCTAGCGCCACTTACGAACGCAAGTTGGATGAAGCTTTTCCGGTCCTCAGGTGCGTTGTGTTCCAAGAGACGGGCTTTACCTTAGCTGGCCCAGTTGAAAGTCTGTAAGACGTCTGAAAGTGGATCTTCTTGTGGCTGTGCTGCAGAAAACCTGGAATGACGAGGCAGACAAAGTCTAGGAATTCGGTCTTTTGTAGGGGTTTGAGATATATAAGGTCTCTGTCAACACAGAAACCGCTCTCCATGCGGCTTGCAAAGAAGAAGTGATAAGCCGCAGATGTTTCATGCGAGTAACTGCGGTAGACGTAGCATTTGCCGTAATGGAACATCCCTTTTTGACTGCTGATAAGAAATTAGCGTTACCGCATAGGCAGCCGATTAATTCGCTTGTCGTTTAGAGGGAAGAGAGCGTGAGGCGTTGGTAGCATGCCGGTTTGCGAAGGCCTTAACGCGCTCTATTTTCAGAGAACTAAAGAGGAAAAAGCGGCTTTCCCATATCGCGGCTCAAAGCCTCGTTAGTTGCTACTGGGAGTCGTAGATAACATAAAAATGCTCAATGACTCTGCCGGGATCTCGTTGCGCTACCTAGTTCTGTAGCTGTGTTGTCTTACCTTGCGGAAGTTTCGTGGCTCATTGACGGCAGTGGATGTTTTGACAGCACATGGTGCAGCGATTCTCTTGTCTCTGGGTTGTTGAGGCATTTCGTGACAGGAGAGCTACTAGTTTCGTACTCGCAGGGGGTTTTCAGATTAAGCAGTACTCAGAGTTGCTAGTATTTTTGGTTTAGGCGTGCTTGTGCTGTGGAGAAACTAAATCAATGCACGGGCTGGACCGGAAGACTTCGCTGTATTGACAGTGCTCGACCTGTTGTGCAGTTGCGAGCTGGAGCTCACGCGACGTTCAACTAGTCCAGGTTCCTCTTATAGTTCAAGAAACCTCAAACATCTACATAGATGAATATCATGCGGGCTTCAGCAACAAAATCAATTGAGCAGGGTGAACTGGGGAAGCCGGAAAGGACGCTCCGCAACCTGACACTTCCCAGTGTCTGAGCGGCCAAATTTAGGGGAGGGAGGAGACTTGGATCTTGGAAATTTGAATTTATGGAATAAGCTTCGGATTTAAGCAAACGTGAAGCAATTTAGTGCTTAGTCTTCCTTCCAGTCTGAAAAGACAAGGCCGTCTGCGGGCAGCCCGACGCCGGTGCTCTTTGCGGGGTCGAGGGTGTGATGATGTGGGACTCCGTGAGATCAAGCTACTGTGTAACAAGAGAGACCCTCCCTGAAATATCATGAAGAAGTTGTATTTATGAGTTTTGGTCTGCACCGTTTTGATAAGGATCGTTTCTTCTAATCTCCTGTGGGCAGCGGTCGGCATGGGCGTCCGTTTGACAGCACTGCCGCATGAAGTACGGAATTGGATGCTCTGCAAGCAGGGAACTCGTTAGCAGTCTTTTGTTTTTTTCAGTGTAGCTTTGTGTTTTCAGTATTGGAGGCTTGGTTGATGACGGCTCCACTTTACGCTGCATCTGCGTCAACTTTCAGTGTGGAGTGACCACCCACGAACATTGCAACCAGCACAGGCAGCATAGTCCCCCTTCAGGCTGCACAAATGAGATTCGGCAGCTTGCAATGACACATAAGTGTGATTTTTAACAAGAGAGCACCGCTTTTCTGGTCCTTCGCAACTCTTAAGGCAGATCCTGCGCCTGTTACTGCTGATTGATGGACCAAATGCAGCTCCAGCGCAAGCCTTCTCTGAGAAAAAGTCCTCCGATAGGTGCCATCACTTCCACATTTGCATAGGAAGCATTCTGGAGATTGCGGAGAGCAACCAAAGCGCTAGTACGCTGCTGCGTTTTGGGTGGCTTCCGTCACCATTGGAACAAAAGGGGATTAGGCGTTCCTCTCGGTGAATCATCTAGGGACCTCTTGTGGAAGCAAATCCGACTAGCTCCTTTTTAAACTTAGTGGTGGCTGCCTAATCTAGAAAGAAGAGGCTGTCTAAAAGGCCTATTGACTCCGGCAGAAGACGGCTGCCATTTTGACATAGTGTCTTCTATTGGTCCCTATGGGGGCCTGCGGGTCAAAACAACTAAACGGAGTCCGTGAACTCAGTGCATCACCAGGTCAGTCACGCCAGTTTCAGACACACAGTCAGGCCAAAAATTCGCCCAACTCGACCTGCGTAGACCCATGAACTTTATTCTTACAGATAATTAAGGGCACACGTATAACGATTCCACGAGCATGATGCGATATGCGACATGTGCGCAGGGAATACTCACGTCACAGAGACACAGGTGGTGGACAAGCTAAAGACAGACGGAAACTGGACGAGCTCTTCTTGCTTTGCTCGGCCGCTTCGGTCTCAGGAGCGCCGAAAGGAGCGCAGAATTACCTCAGTGTTATTTCCCTCTGCCCATCAGCAATATCCGTGCGTCTCACCAATATTGGGTGTTAGAATATGCGGAAACGGGATACTAACTGTACCCGAATCCCAGCCGTATTTGGCTCGGGCCATTCATTCCAATCTCCTGGGTCGATTTTGTCGACCTCAAAACGCTGCCCTCAAGGTAAATGTTACAGCGGGGCATCCTTCCTCCACAAGATTGGCAGAAGGTGCACCAGAATACTCTGGAGATGGTATCGAACGAAACGACGCCCTCGAAACATCGTGCAAACAAGCAGACCCACGCACAAGGGGCGGTGCTTCATCAGGAACTGCACAGAATGACGTGCAGATACAGCACAAACTGAAGTTTCAATGTGATGGAGACCTGAAGGAGCCGATCAAACAGTGGAAGTTTGGTTCACTAAGGTGGGAAGAGCAGCCAACTGCAATACGTCACGCACTACCGGTGTCCCCGGAGGGCACCACACAGTTGACACCGTTAAAAAGAAGCCACATAGCGAATAGTGGAAGAACCAGAAGTCTGTGCGTTTCCAGCATATCGACCAACTTACCACAATGTAACTTCGAGGTACGAGTTTCCAGAAGACGGCAAGGGCATTTATTTGGTCTCCATGGTTGTGGTTAGGAGGTTTTGCGGAAATACTAAGGAGGTTTCTCATCATTAGGAAACGTCTGTGCCGTGGCACGACAATGTGCGACAAACCATAGAAGTGACTTGCTGTTAATCGAGCAATATATTGAGTGGGACTGAAATGAATCAAAGGTGCAAACTGAGCAGATCATGAAGGCTCCATAAATCTTCGCTTAACTGCTTCAGGAGAAGGCTGTCCGGGTTACGGGAGTCGACTCACTTTTCTCGCTCGATAATCTAGGGGTCAGTGTCGTCTGCAAAAAAGGTTACAGGCCAAACTGTCCAAACAATGACGGATTCTTCGTTTGTCAGTGAGCGGTTGATTGACTGCAATCTCATTGCTTCGACAGCCTGCCCGATGCATGCAGGCAGAATCTCACCACAGTGCCATCACCATTAACTACGCCGCAAGTCATGTTTTGTCGTACTGTAGTTTCTTCTGCATGCTTTTGCTCAGTGTTCACGGGTGCACAGTGTGTTGCGTTCTCGACGGGCATGGTCCTTTCGGCCACGACATCTGTAACATAGTTCAGCAAGACCTGCTAAGGCTGATTATACGCAACCCTGATCTTCCTCTGAAGTCTGGGAGCGTGCTCCAGGAAGCTTTCCTTAGGGTGAGCGTGGCTGTAGCAAATACTGCATCCATTCGATTCCTTCCAGAAACTAGCAATTGCCTGTTTCGCATAGACTAAATATTTTGCTCTTACCTGGATTCCCGAGCTACAATGCGGCGCGACAGGTCGGTGAATGCATTTTTCTCAGGCCCATAATAATCTGGAAACGAAGTGCAGCGAGTTCAGATTGGATAGCAAGCTCAGCGGGACCACAGTTACCATCATAGTGTACCTGAGAGAACAAAACAGACTTGTTGTAGCTCACGTTGGCAATAGCCGAGCTGTGCTGTGCAAGCTCTCCAAATATGGTAGGCAAGCACAAAGGCTCGAGGTGACGCTGGATTCAGGTTGCACACTACCATTCAGGATCGTTGTAGGGGCTGGCTTGGTTGGATGCGGGGAGGATGCACCCTTCGGCGTGGCATGTATTTGGCGATTACGTACAGGTTGTGGGGTCCGAGCTATCGACCTCACTGTTGACCATATTCCTACAAATATAAGGGAACTGCGCCGGATTATCAAAGCTGGTAATTCAACTAACTTCAGTCACTGCACCACCGTTCCACCTAGGCGTGCTGTTTTACTCGCATTTTGTACCTTATGTGGTGTTTGAAGGAGGGGAGGTCAGGGCACCGCGAGGAGATGGCCTTCATCGGATCTTTCTTACAGACAAGTACCTTCCCGGCCTTGCCGTGGCACGGTCAATCGGCGATACACTTGCTGGAAGTGCAGGTGTCATAGCGAAACCAGATATAAAGGGTAGGTGAGCTGTGTATTTCCATTAGCGCGTACTGTGCTGTAGTTCCCGCTGATACAGCTCGTGAACTCTACTGTTGAACACTTTTGGACTGTTAAGGAAAAAGCTTGCCTTCCTGCCATTTGCAAAGCAACTCAATTTTGTCATTGTTTCTTCTAGAGTACCGTGTCGATGTCAAACGCGACCCGTTCCTTCTACTGTGCACTGACGGTGTCTGGAACGTTCTCTCGTCCCAAGAAGCAGTTGATATTGCCCATTCTGCCGAAAGAAAAGGGGTAAAGATGTTCTCAGCCTGTAAAAATTCCAGAACACTTAGTGTAGATGCTTTTTTTTCCGTACAAACTACACCTGGAGATGTGCTCTACGCGACGCAGCAGTTTTTATTGCGTTCTACGCAGTGGAGAACTGCACCAGAGGAGCTTGCCCGGGAGTCGTGGCGCCGATGGATTAACCAGGAACAGATTTTTGCAGACGACATGACTGCACTCTTCCTGAGGCTCCGTTGAAACTCAACCGAATGGGCAGTGAATCTATTTGTTGCAGCACTTATTCCAGCATCAGCAAGCAAGTAGATGACAAAATGTTAATTTGATGTACTTTCGTGTCTGGCGCCTGTTATGCGCCGACTTCAAGTACTACCAAATGGCATAGCCACGCGGGCAGGCCTGTTTATACAAGTTCATCAATACGATTGCAGGTGGTGGCGAATAGATATTGCACATGGAGCTTCCTGCCACATAAGATGACTTGCTGCTAGGTGATGAGAGCCCCAAGTAGACAGAAATACTGGCATCAGCTTGCAGGCAGCCAAGAATACTTGAAAGTGTGCAAGTTAGCTTTTATGAGCGGCTTGCAAGGCTTGCGCATAGGATGCATAACCGAACTTCCGGCGACGTTCCTTCATTTCCTGGGCACAGAAAGTCCCGCGCTTAGCAAACAACAGCTCGAGAGCAACGCCAATACTCCAGCCAAAGCCCATCTGGCACTTATAGTCTCCTCCACTTCCGCAAGACCCGGAGACCAAGCTGTTGGACTTCTCAGGCAGTGCTCCTAATCTATTGTAAGCCTTTGAGCCAAAACACGAACGAGAAACACGGAGCGCAAATAAGGTTACGGGATGCCAGTGCACAATATTTAGCAGACATTATAACAAGCCTGTACAACAGCCTGTACTTTGCAGTGCAGTTTTCGTGAAATGCAGCTGGCAAGTACTCGTCACAAAATGCTAGCGAAGGCACGAAAATTTTCCTTGTATCTTCTGAACATTGCCTACAAACTGACCTGTATGCAAGCGAAAATATACTTATCCGTCATGCATTTAATTGCACTCAACAAGGCTTGATCTTCTAGGTTGATAATTGCTTCCACTGCCATCTGGACCAGTGGCGGCCAGCAATTTGGCTTGTCCCACTGCTGCCCAGTTTTGACCTGGGTTGCCTGTAAATACCGTCACATGACAAATCAACATGAATCATGAGCGTTCTTTCTGATGAACAGAATGCCGTGTGCACCGCAAATGTGCAAAAGCATATGAAACTCACTGATAAACCCCAGGCGTCCCAAAGGCCCGATTTCTCCACAAGAAATTGTGCCGACGAAAGCTGCCTCTTGTGAGCTGTTGGCTCCCCCTTTCGCTCGCTGAGAGTAATGCCACGGCATGTACAAGTAGCAGCATTTTCACTAGAGCTACATGCGAAGCCGAAAAGGCGACAAGCCTGTACGTTCACAGATGAATGAATCTGCATCAGAAGGGGCACAACTCCAGCAGACGTTATTCTCGTAGACTGTCGGCCTTTCAATATATCGAAATCAAACCTGCAAAAGCCCCCAAACCGTTTGAGACGCTCAAAGCGTTGCCAACAGTCACACAAAATCGCTCCCAAGTTAACAGCTCAAAGCACTAAGCTATTTTCAAGCAACGATGAAAGAAACACAATCTACAGAGTTGACGCTTTTGTGTTTCAGAGAGTTTATCTCCTTGTTTGTAGGGTCAAACGGACCACCAGCTAGCTTCGTCGTTCCAAAGCAGCTGCAGCATTGCATCTCTGCGATCCGTCGCACATTTCAAAAAATACTCAGGGGCTCTCCGTCCTTCGCACAGAGGGTCAAACTGGTTGAGTACTCGCCCGAAGTAGAGCAAATAGAGCTCTGAATGGTATAAGAAGCTGCACAGAGGCAAAGTGAGCAAGGTAAGGGTTTACCATATCCCTGAGCAAGTACTGGCAGCGTCTTGCTAGGCCCGCAACAACTTTCCCCATCTGCACCTGCCGGGTACTCTATGCGTTGCCTGCAAGCGCTGTGCTTTCCTTCCAGCACTTAGGGCTTGGAACGCGCCTGTTCAAATCCACTGGCAGAAATGATTCTGAACGGAGGGCGGGCATCACCCCTTCAGTTACTGCATCGACGTCATCTGGAACCCAACGCGATGAGAAATCCCACCCCTGAGCGTTCGTCAGCAATACTTCAGTCGTGATGAAAAACAATGGAGAACGCACAAAACAACGGGCCTTAGGTAGTTCGGCTCCAGGTCCAGGGGATCAGGCACACCCAACGCACCGACTCAGCCGCTGCTCGAATATTTTGCAGTATGCAGGAACGCGTAGCAGCAGAGAACTCATGATTGCCATTCTGACGGGCTTTCTCTGCTGCAGTTCGAACTACTGTCTCGTCAGTGTCCCAGGATTCTGTTCGTGGCTCCGCGATATGGCCAAGATAACGATTCAGCTGCAGATCCCTCCCTTCTGAAAAGCGTCAATGTATGACTCCTAGTAACCCGCATCTTAAGAGCTACAAACGCAATTCTCTAAAAGAGTCAGAAGAGGAACCAGCTTTTAGTGCCTACTTATATCGACCACCATGATGCCTCATTCAGGCCATGTTTGGCACTAGTGCGGTTCTGCAATCTTTGAAGCATAGGAACAGTCGGCATCGCGTGAGTTTCCTTCCAGAGAACAACTCACCGAAAGTGACGTGCACTTGGCGTGAGTCGCCTTCCATCCAGTAAAAGTACTCACGTTGCACGTAAAGGTAAGTGTCGCGAATAAGCTGCGCAACACTTAACAGTCATTAGGAGTGAATGCAAAGTAATATAACTGGTTCCAGAAGCTAAGGCATGCTAGTGTTGGCTCAAACCTAGCGATTAAGGATCACCTCAAGATCTCCAGTGAATGCATAGTACGCCGATAGCATCATACTGAAGACTGGAGGCTGACTGCGGGTCAGGTAGTACGAACGATTTCCGTCTATAATGTGCACCACATGAAGACACACGTTTCGATTTCTTGGAAATTAAGGCGAGGCACTAAACGAGCGGTGGGGACAACTTTCTCATTGTGCTTACTTGGGATAAATCCAAATCTCCTCACAAGCTCAGCGAAATTGAGTATGATTCCTCGTGCTGTGGAAATCATGCCACTGTACAGAAGGCCTCGAACAATCCAATAAGAGTCCCTGCAACGAAAAATGCGCCTTCTACTTAGTCCAGGTATCCGCAATACGAAGGAGATGCTTCAAGCAAAACATGGTGACTTGTGAGATCCCCAGTGTGGATGCTTACCAGTAGTACATTTCTCTGAATCTACCTCCCGGAACGATGAAGCCCCACGGGACGTCCACTGAAGATGACACAATCTTGTGATCACTCGCTTCACTGCCAATAGGCGAGCCAGTCTTTACAGTGCGTCGCGTTTTTCTGCCCAACTTCGCCCACAAAAGTATTGCACGGCGCGCAAATTCATTCTCCACCGTAATCTCGGCGTTTTGGACAGTTGCGGTGTCTCCTGTCTCTCCAGGCAAAACAGGACTTGGCAGACCATACGTACACGTGGGACACATTAAAATATCAGGAAGGACCCTTGGCAAGCTAGATGCCAGGTTGTATGGCGTCTTCTGCCGAAGGCTTGGTGTGAGTGTAGTTGCTTCCTGCACTCCAGAGCACGTGTCTGTCAACCAACTCGGGAGAGCTGCGAAATGGTGCAAGAGGACATTGTGGCAGCATCGCGTTACAAAAGCAAGCTCTAGCAATGTCTGTCAGCCAACTCGGAAGTGCTTCGCGATGGTGCAGGAGGACATTGTGGTAGCATCGCGCGAGCACGCAAGCAAGCTCTTGCGAGCGATACTTCCTGGCAATGTTACCAGAGAGTCAAATCCATGCTGTAGTGGGGGGAAACTTTGTGTGAAGCGAAGGGCAGAGGCATACATTCAGAGACGTCCGGTGGAATCCACTCGATAATATCTGGGAAGCCCGAGTAAAAGCACTCTTGGAAAAGTCTCTCTAGGCTGCACTTCTCAGCTTCTTGTGGAGCGTTTGCGAAGCGGGCCACCACAGCACTTACAGGTAGCTTCATAACCAAATCGGCCAAGTCTTTGCAGTCAACCTTGTTAAAAAGTCTACGCATCGCTGCATGTTGGCAAAGAATAGACGAGCTACTTACATTTCGAGGCACAAAACGTAATTCTTGTGCCATATATTCTAGGGCAACCAGTGGTCTGTTGGTGGTCTGCTCAACTGCCGAGAACCTACCTAAGAACACAGGGCCGTCACTGCATACGATGTCATCTACAAACGTAATGCTCTCCCCAAAACACAGTTGTTGCAGGCTTCGATCCAACGCTGGAGTTTCCTTGTCAGCCATTTCGACAGCCGAGATTTCACCTTTCGGTTTTTCACAACAGCGGCAGCTCTGGTGTAAGTTCTGTGTCCTTGTAAGACGCCTTTTGTCACTTTGAGCACTGAAAACCTACAAACACATAACGCGTTCTCCTGCCCAAGCGCCCAGCCTTTGCATGCCTGTTGTCAGCCCCCACAGGATCACCGTGAGCGACGCTGTTCAGTATCTGCAGTGCTGCTTCAGAGTGTCTTCGTTGTCAAGCTGTGCCCAGCAAGATTTAACCTTTGCATATTTTTGGCAGGTGGCTGTCTGGCAGTGGAACTACGTTGACACCTCGTTGTACCTGCTGCTGTTTACGAGGCGGTGCGCTACACCGCTGCTGCTTGACGGCGCTATTTCGAAGCAGGAACAGCTTACTGTAGGCAAACTATCAAATCAAAAGGTGTTTGATGAGAAGCAGCCTGAAACTGTGGAAGAAGGCTTCGCAAAAAGGCTTAGACCGCTTACAGACAGTCACGTTGTTTGCCTTGGCCTATGCAGCACTCATGCAATCTACAGGTTTCGTTTTTCACAAGCATATACGCCCCATATTTATCACTATATCTGCTGCTTCTCACCCGAGGAAACTACAGACCGACCCGCGGAGGCATTAGCCCGACGCACCAGCAACTGGCCACCCCAGCGCATTTGTGCTGGAGTACTACGTACACTGTTGCCAAAGTGCCAACTGTGCGCGAAACGCTTTAGGTGAATCTGTAGGCCATCCCGTTTGCACTACTTTCTGCTTCTCGAAAGTTAACCGATCAGAAATTCGCTCGACGGCGGAACTGCTCATGCGGAAGCTAGCAGACGCCCAGTATCACATATTGCACCCCAAAACAGGCTCCAAGAAATTCTGTTTAGGCCCCGCCTGAATGTGGACGCTTCTGGGTACAACACAGTATTTCAGGTTTTAACACTGTGGCGCCACTTCCTACTCCTCATCCGGTTCAGTACACCTTCAGATTATATAAATGCCCCTGAAGAGCACCGCATGAAGATAAACTCCAAGCTACTGCTTGCCTCGAGAAATTCGTTTCGAATAGACTACGAGCAACAGATAATCCTCCATCCACTTTCTGTATGCCCTTCTCACGTGCTTCACCACACCGCAAATGTGGACTTCTAACGTTGGAAGCGGCCTTTCCGGCAGTGAGATCTTGCTACTGCCAAAGCCCTAGTTCTTCAAAGTTGCACCCGCATGAGCCACAAAGAATTTCTAGGAAGCAAGTGCACTGAAGCAATGCTCACAGTGTGTTTCTGCACAGCTCCTGCCATCAGCAAGCCTTTTAAGCGGGAGATGTTTGTATGTACAAAGTTACTAAATCATTCACTGGTTCTAAACTGTGCTAGCCCTTTGAGGTTTTTAACGCCCCTATTAGCTCAGTCCGCACGGGTGAGGTCATGTCGCGTTCACTGGATCCCGAATGGTTCCCAGCAAGTCACCACTGCATCCGCTTTCCAGAGTCTCTTTTTCGCAGTCCTCTATTCTCTGTTACGTCAATGATTTTTTCGGCATTTGCCATCTTGCCCACACGTCACTTGAAAATACCCTGGTGGCGAACCTTCCTTGATTACTCGACTACTCTTCCAAAAATGAAAACGCGTCAACATCAGAATGCTGCAGCGCTGTTTGATGAAGGTCTAAAAGACTCACTTTCATGCCAAGATCCACTAGCCGCGTGCCATCATATAGTGCTGTCCACTTCCAGGACTAATTTGGCTCCTGAAATTTGAGGTTTCTCCACGGCGCCGCTGAAGAGGCCAGTGCTCGGCTCTTTGTTACTGCATACCTATGGTTCACTCCTTGGGCTGACTGAAGATGGGCTGTATGTGGGTCATCGGATGAGTCTTCTTTAGAAGCTTCCCTGGTATCTAAACTGGGTAGAGGGGTCGCTTGTGCCTCCTTCACAATGCTGGCAGAGTCTGTGAGTCCCACTCCTGCTCTTCTGGAGTATGAAACCGAAGCTAGATTGCAGTTCACAATACGCACACAGTATGGTAGCGCTAAGCGTGGACAATTACTGGCAGGATTTGACTTCTACGAGCCATCATCTTACCAAGGCCAAGCATCACAACATGATGCGTCGAGAGATGAACCTCCTCTGGGAGAAAAACCATCAATGGCGCACTGGGAGCTAAAGAAATACCCTGCCAACAGAGGGACAAATGCGCCGAGAACGATATGTACTATGTACTTTGGAGGCAAACTGAGGATCAGATCCCAATGGAAAGCCATCCTGCAGTCTCTAGCAAAAGCAACGCTACATGGCTATCTTTCTCCAAATTCCTCGACGTTACATGCTTACGAACCTCATCAACGAGTATGTAGCTTCGGATAATCAAACCCGCGCACGATCCCGCGACTTCGATACCGCATACGGCACTGCCGTTGATAACGGTCTGTCTCTCCTTGGACCAACTAAGCTGTCTGTCTCTGGCACAGGGAAAGCAGTTGCTTCTCCACGCTTCATCCTGAAATGTGCACCTTCCTGCGTCCTTGCTTTCAGTCCTGTTTCCTTCAAGAAGACTTGCACTTCCAGTGGTAGCACACTTACACGAAACATTATGTCCCATTGCAGAATCCTTGTATGAGCATCTGGTCAGGGATGCAATCTCGAAGCTTTCAAATACACAAAAGCGATCACTTAGTGCTACATCTTCCAACCGAACAGACTCGCCACTCATGGCGCGGCCGCTTTCAGCAAATCGCCTAATTAGTACCTCATTAGGCTTTTCCTCTTCCACAACTTTTGCGTACTGACCACTGGGCACTAGCGGAGGGCACGATGCCGGCGTTACCAAGGTCTGCCAGCGCCTCGGAACCACCAGGCAGCATGCAGGGCTGCAAAGGCCACAGAGAATACGTGCAAAGACCCAGATAGACAGACTTCCTAGGCCAGTGCGCTGCGATGACCGATTCTGCTGACATGTTCCTCTTCACCGCCCTATACGTGCTGCAAAGACAGGTGATGTGGCACATGTCGCATCATCCTCAGTAGGTGTCCTCATCGGTTGTTGAGGTCCAATACCAAACGCCGGCAGGCAGTGATGCAAACAGTTCACATGCCCCATGCAAGCCAACACTCGGATGCCTATACTGTGTGCAGATAGCTACGCGTGCATTCGCTGGGGTTTTCGAACCTCCGCATGCGTGCAACAGTGGTGCATTTACAGGTTCTAGAGCTACCTTGGATCATAGTGCGAACGCCAGCGAAGCCAACGTCTGCATTCTAGCTACGCAGATTTTTTCCTGGTGGCGCTTTGTATGCATGTGCGAGGAACCGAAAGAAATACACGAACTAAACACCAATGCAAATCGAAGAAAAGACCACCTTACCAGTTGATATGGGGCAGCGAAAGTCGTAACGTACTATCTGCACTCCGGAGAGAGTAAAACAGTTTTGGGCATTTCATGCGGGAGCGTTTTCTTTAATGCATCATGCCTGCTTTGAATATAGTATCAGGATTCTAGTAGCGAGAAATTTCATTATAGCAGATAGGCAACGCCTTGCTTTGTAGATAGTAGGTAAACGCTAAGCATGGAGTGCCACCCGAGAAACAGAGCTCTAAGGCTCTGTTTCTCGGGTGGCACTCTTCAGGGATCCAGTTCGCCCAATCGTCCTAAAGGCGGCACTAAAGTTTGCTTTTATGGAAACTAAAGACTTATTCCCTCAAGAAGGCAAGATTAACTCGCAACCAGCGCTTTTCATATGTTTCCCGGTCTTTTGCTGCTCTCAAAGCATCACTTCAAAACTTTTTGCTGCATGAGCCCACACGCTTTGAAGATATATTGCAATCTTGTTCAAAAGCACGGCATGTCGAAGCCAGTTACGACTGTACAACAAGGAACAAGCCTAACACTGAGAAGACAGTTGAAGTACACCTAGTCCTTCGGTATTCAATGCTGTCTGCTTTTTTTAGAGAGCAGTGACCTCTAAGGGAACAACAGAAAGAGAGCAGTCACTGCTGAGAGCACAGCAGAACGTGAGCACAATATGTAATTTTGTGTACAGTTTTACGAGGAAAACGGCGAGCAAAACGTCTAGATGCCTACCAGCAATCTGTCCTTTGCAGAATCCTAACATGCAAAAGATATCACCGTTCAAGTCAGACGTCGTCGCGTATACAACCCAGCGACTAAACACACTTATTCTCGCGAAGGGTATCTCTCATTTTGCATGGCCAAACCCTGAATATTGTTTCGACAGCTTACAAGCATTGCAACTTACTCCCTGGCAAACCAATGCTCTATACATAGCTCTCTTCAAGGTGCATTCGACTCAAGTTCCGGCGAGCATTCATCGCAGCAGTTGCGAGAGTGGGATTGCAATGAAGCAAATTTCGAAGCATGCGCAACAGATAAGCAGATATAGTTTTGATGTCTCAACGAACCTCGTCACTAAACGATGCAGTAACCCCGCTAATTAAGGCCATGAAGTTGGTGTTTTCAATCAAGTGCGCGTGAATAACACCTAAATCAGACGTTGATGTGCCTAGATCCGTGCAAACTGCTCATGGATGCTGCGGTCAACAAATGTCTTGGCGAGGCTTCCTCCCCCTGTATGCCTTTTGAGGAAACGTCCGTTCGTTTTTAAACGCCCATTATTTTCATTTTTTATGTGGATTCAAAGAAACTCAAACTTCCAAGGAATTCTAACAGCGAGATCTTGAAAAAAAGCTGTGTGGACGGTGGACGCATGCACTTCACATTGCCATGCACGACAATTTGACAAGAATATCACCCAGCCAATTTTATACCTTGCGAACAGCAGTATTCCCGAAGCGATAGGTAAACACGCTTTCATTCACCATTCTTCAGCAGATAATTGACCAGCATATATGGTCAGAACGTTCACAGCCTCAACTGTCAGGAATCAACATTGCGTTTCTTTTGTAGTGCACAGGCACTACAATGGGGCTTGCTAGTGATCTTGAGACGATAGCTAGCTAGCGACCTACAAGGGGTCGCAACACTGGAGGACGACAGGGCCCTCCTACTAGGATAAAAGTAAGGCAGATTGTCTATGAGTTAATATGCATACGTGAAATATGTGGAAAATGTGTGGAGACTGGGGCTGGCGACAGCGCCGGCACCAGTGCAGGCCTCCTCCTCATAGGGCCTAGGAGGCGAGCTCCCAGAGTGGGGCGAATCGAACAGACAGATTCTGAAACACTTAAGAATTATTGTATTTCGATGAAATTAAGCCACAGTTTCCAGGAAATGGGCCTACGCTAGGTGTAGTTTGTAGGCTTGCTCGAGGGGCAGGAGCAGCGTAGTCGCAGCAGCACGCGCTATCCACTACATTTGGGGGCTGTTCCGGGAATGAAATCTTTGTTCTTTCCGGACTTGGGAGTAGAAATACTATGTTTTAACAACTCGTGCCTAGAAATCTTCGCTCGTTAAGGGATGCATCTCCGCAACGGGCGCGTTATCGGCGCCACACCGCAGGAGACTTCTACAATGTCAGTCAACAAAATGCCTAGCGGGACGCCAGCCCATCATCGCCACGCGACTCCGAAGCCCATCGTGGCAGAGCGGCCGCATGGGCATAAGGCGGCGCCCCCACAGGTGATACCTATGATCAATGTA